AAATATGATAAAGGTGATAAAGATGACAAAACTGATAGGATGGGTTGGGTGGTGTGTAGTGGCAGATACAGTTTTGGGTGGGGGTGGGGTGGGGAAGGGAGCGGCGTCAGGGGGTCGTGGGATGGTGGAGGGGTGGGGTAGGGGGGGGAGGGTGGGAGGTGGAGGGGTGGAGAGGGATGGGTGGGGGGGGGGCAAGGGCAGAGGAGAAGGAGGGGGTGGGGAAGGGAGCCGGGTTGTTGGAGGGGCAGGGGTAGAAAAGAGAAGGGGGGAAGTGGAGGGAGAGGAGAGGTGGAAGGCGCCCCAAACCCCCAATAGCACCTTCGACCCCACCCCCCCTCCCCTTCCCCCTTTAATCCCATCGATTTGAATAATTGAAATGGGGCCGATTTCAATTTACAAAATTATTTCAATTCACAAAGTGGCCTTGTGAATTGAAATAATTTTCTTGTGAATTGAAATAATTTTGTGACTTGAAATCGGCCGGATTTGAATTATTTCAATTATTTGGAGGGGCTCGAGGCCTGAACTTGACCATTGCGTTTCTGCCTCGGACAGGTCCGGCTCCCAAAGATCGCCGAGAACGTGCAACCACAACGATGACGATGACGACGACGACTACTGCATGCTCATCCAGGGGCGGAAGGGTTCAGCGCTTTGTTAGGCTAGCCTAACGGCTAAACTCCTAAACCAAAGATGCCGAAACCAAAAAAACCAAAACCAAAAAAACCAAAAAAATCAAAAACAACCAATATTTTGGAAGTCTTGCCAAATCACTACTCCGCAACTTTTCTGAAATATTGGTTTTTTTGTTTTTTTTGATTTTTTCGGTTTTGTTTTTTTTGGTCTTTTTGGTTTTGTTTTTTTTGGTTTTCTTTGGTTTTGTTTTGTTGGTTTTTGTGGTATTGGTTTTTGTGAGTTTTTGGTACTGTTTTGTTTGGTTTTAGCAGTTCGGATTTCTTCGTCCTGTTTCTTGTACTTGGATTGCGTTCTCATGTGATATCGACTATGATTGTCATGATTCGCTCGAGCCATCCTAGTGTTGAAGCGCACCCCTTACGTCAATACCCACTCTTGAAAGCAATGTGGACTCGCCACATGGAGCGCGCAACTAAGCTGCCTGATGAGATGATTGCAGAAATCTGGAGCTTCTCACGCATCTTGTCTTGTTGATAGGTCTTCTTCGTTCAAAGCGCTTTTCGTACGTCCAAAAGCCTTATTTCGCGTGCGAAGGTAACGATGACAGAAATCTTGGACCCGTGCCTGGCCCACCAACGCAGCACGAGATCTTCATTGGATACTTGCCACATGGCACTTGCTCGCATATGCTGATGTTTCCAGACAACAGTCGTCTCATCGTCAAAGCCAGTTTGGATATGTAAATCTATCGTCTTTTGTACTGAGGTTCCCGCGCGGTGCGACTCGGTGAGATCATGTACAAGATCACTCGTACAGGAGAAGAACCACTCAGCGCAGCTGATTTGACTTTCTTGGGCTATTGAATATCAACATGTTGGGGTGGAGCTGCTCAGTTAAACTGACATGCTCTATCTGGGACCATGCCGTTCATTCCTATGCCGTTGCAGGAAGATAAAAGATAGGTGGAGCTGCTCAGTTAAACTGACATGCTCTATCTCCGACTACACCGTTGATTCCTCTGCCGTTGCAAGAAGATAAAAGCCAATGCTTGCAAGTATGAAGTGGCAAGGTCAAGTTGTGAAGTGTCTGAACAACTGCTGCACAATTTTTGAAATTCCTTCATAAACCATCGCCGTAGCATTTTCTTAGAGCTGACAGGATCATATCATCGCTAGTCCGCCTTCGCTCCTCGTGAATCATGTCGGGTTATGCCGCAGAGCACGACATCCAAGATGGAGGCCTCAACTTTGAGGAGGCATGTGCACATGTATCGGGTCAAAAACTCCAAGGTCCGGAAACCAAGCCCATCAAGTCGGATCGCGCTCTTGGTACAGTTCAAATATCTGACCTCCCTATCCGTCATTTGGAAGCCTCACCAGCTAAGATTGAGCAGGTCGCAGACATTCTTATGGGATATCAGATTGACTTCACACCCGGTATGTTCGACCAGATCTACAAGTTATGCTACGAGGACAAGTATGGACAGCTCCCCGAACCGTTTTCTCTTGTGAAAGCGCCGCTCGTGCCCTACACAATCCAGTTCGTGATCCTGCCTGCCTCTGTGCCACAGGATGCCGATCCAAACCGTTCCTACTATCACATCGTGAAGCACGTCTATCTGCATCGCAACAAGCTCTCATCCAAGGACTGTGTCGCCATGTGCAGGGGAACTCCTATGAGATTTGAGTGGGGAAACAGTGTGCGCCTTGGTCTTGCAGCCCTGAACTATATGATGGACGGAATGGGCGGTCAACAACTACGCCATTGGATTATCAAGCCCAAGTATGAGAAAAAGTTGACTATAGATCAACAACAACGCTCTGCAGGTTATGAGTTCATCCGCAACTTCGGGCCCCGATGCAACAATCGGAATCAATTCATGGAATGGACGGACGAGCAGATCCGCACTCCAGGTGGTAAGTTGGAAAACTGGCCAGAATCCAAGGTGAAAGAAGCCCTTTCGAACTACATGAAAGGCAGACAGAATGCCAAGACCCTTGAGTTCTGGCCCTTCACGCTCAAAACGTTCATCCCGTGGTTTCTGAACCGTGTGCTCACCCCGATGTTGCCAACCATGCGGCAGCATGCGATTACGTGGATTGGTAGAACAAGAACTGGGAAATCTCTTGGTTCAAAAACCATTCTATTCATGCAATCCAAGTACGAAATCAATGAAGCGGATCGCTCCGATCTCGTCCCCTCGGTTGTGACCGCGAAGCATCTCGATTTTTTCAAGGCGGAACCGCTCACAAGGTTCAAACCAGGGGTTTTTTATGACGGAATGCTGCAGCGCATGGGTTCTTCATTCCTGAAGGCCTTCCTTAACCCGTCTGCTTCTCGTCTGATGTTTATAAGTTTGATGTTTTTTCAAGTGTTCTTAAACTATTCAGTATCATACTTGTGCACATTATATACATTTGTTTATGTTGAAGTGGTACAACTTCTCAGGAGGAAGACGCGACAGTATGGGCCCGGTATTCCTCTGCTCAATTTGATCAAGGGGCCGGACGCCACGCGTGCAACAACCCGTATGACAAAGACATCGACAAGAAACTCTACAACACCATGAGCGCCACCAAGGTCTGGCATGCTGGTCACGACGAGTTTATGAAAATGATCAAACCTTCTTTTCTTGCGATCGATGAGGACGAGGACATGGATGCCGTTCTTGCTAGGACTCATCTCATCGTCATCACAGACTCAGGTGTTTACCATCGTCTTGCCAGCACGTCCAAGGACCCTGTCAACTTCATGCCTTGGGATCCGAATGAGCCGAAGGACCTCGTGATTGCCTCCCAGCACCATATCTTCAAGGAATACAAGATGAACCCGCACATTCACAAGTACCCGCCGTCATACTACGAGGATCTCGCGTGGTCACAAGAGTTTTTGCGACGTCTCCTTCATGGCGAACGTGTGCCCGAAACTATCACTGTAGTGCAGCGCGAGAACACCTTTAGCGAATCATCTGCAAGGCAAGACCTTAAAGCTTTGTTTTTCTTGTTACATGGTTTCATATAAAGAAACCGCAAGCTATATGCATTTAACCAAATATGCTCGCGAAATACAGGTCGAAGTTGGCTCGCCATCCAGAACTTCTGTCTCAGCCCGTGCTGCGCGCCAAGGTCAAGCAAGAAAAAGTGGACCAAGCATTCCGGAGTTTGAAAAGCTCGTCTTCGACTGTCATCGACATCTCTTCCCCGTCTCCCAAGAAGACCTCTACGGCATCCGCTCCTTCATCCGAGATGTTGCCTCCGCCTTCGGCATCCGCTCTTTCATCCGAGATGTTGCCTCCGCCAAAGCGTGCCAAAGTTCCAATGAATCCAGATTTTCCCGGATTGCCCCCCTCAGATGCAGATGACGATGACGATGTCATTCCGCAAGTTGGTCATGTACCCGATGAACTCGAAGACCAACTAGAGCAGCTTATGGAGGAAGCCGACGGTGATGACAAGATGGACATTGCCGACTGAGAATCATGAGTGCTATAGATTTAGCATCCTGCTTAGCACAGTCTCTGACTTTGGTTTTGTTCTTATTCGTATCAGTATGACGTGAGTATGTATAGTGCTGTGGCTTAGCTTTGTAGGGTAGATATTTTCTATATAGAGTTTTGGTGCCATGATGCTCGCCACATCTGTATCTCACTCGTTCACCGCGCGCAATCCGGGAAACACACACAAGCTCGCTGCTGTATGCTTTTGCTGGTAGATATATGCACGCTCTCGACGATTCGTACGCTTTTGCTTGTTAGCTTGTTTTCCGGTTCGAAGAAAACGTGGCTGCTAACTGCCATGGCGACTTACCAAGACTGGATAGCATTTCGTGAGGCCGTACTTTCTGCCAATCTCATGAACCGCACCGAGTTCTTCGCAGTCGTTCGTCACAGTCACGTTCGCGATGTTGAAGGCCTACCAGACACAGCGGCTACTCGTGCTCTGTTGGCATGCCAGGCTCTGCGGCTAGTACTTCCACAACGCGTTTGCGGTCATTGCGATACCCCCCACAAGCTCTACTTCAAGTCGGGTAGATATAAATGGACAGGTCCCCGCTATGAAAGCACGAGTTGCCACATGTGTCTCGGACAAGAGTATTCGGCTACCTCCATTGGCTTTCTCTCCCAAGTACAGCAGCACATGTGGATGAGCAAGCTTGACTGCTTCGCAATGTGGATCTTCGAGTAGTCTCGCCAACAACTTCTTCGAGAATTACATCCAACTGCCCATGACAGAGTCGATTCTTGGACTAGATCGTTTCAACAGACCCTGAGTGGCTGGTATCAAGTACAAATTCAATCCGGCTTTGAGGGTGCCATCCTCAAGAAAATGGTGACAGGCAAACCCAACCCCACGCGGAGACCGGCTTGCACAACAAAGAAACCTTCATCATCGGCGTCTACATTGAAGCGGCCATCTTCCTCATCAATCCGAAAGAAGCCTTCAGGTGTTAACAAGCTACACCTGAAAAGTTCTGGTAGTTCTCGCATCTTCATCGCAGACGAGACTCACTTGAACAAGAGGAAACCAAACGTGCTGGCTCAAAACGGCCGTCCACAGCGAGACCAGGTATGGCTTTGGGGTGCTGTCCTACAAGGTCATTTGAAGACCCACTTCATCTTCCGTGTCCTGAAGCATCATGAAGAAGCCTTCGATGGCAAACCTCGCGGCCACAAGGAAATGCTGCATAATCTTAATCTCTTGGGTCTTCGTAACGGAGACATTTTCGTAAGTGACAAGTGGCGTGCCACTTTGTCTGCTGTCAAAGCATTTCGCAAAAACCACGGTCTCACTGAGAGCCAGCTGCGTCATGAAATTGTTAATCATTCCGCTGGTGAAATCGTGAATAGCAACGGCTTCAGTACGAATGCTATCGAGTGCAAGTGGTCGGTGATAAAGAGATGGATCAGACACAAAATGTCTGGCATTCTCCCGGCGCACTCAGACCGTACGAAATGGTCATTGCTGATTGATGAGTTCCAAGCAAGGTCAATGTTAAAAGCACTGGCATCTCATTCGTTCGACAAAGGCAATATGCATGTCGTTCGCTTTCATGATGTCGTCAAACTTTTCCAGGTTGCGTGATGCTTCACAGTCGCTTTTCGGATCCTGCAGCTCAGTAAAACAGAGAAACATCACATTGCGTGCACGTCTCGCAGGTAGAGTGTGTTCCACCGCATACAAACGCTTTACCGCTATTCGTTCTGCTATGCTCAAGAGACATGTGCTAGCATGGACAACATGGCACCCTGTGCTTGAAGCCGAAATGCAGCGGTTTAAATTATTTAAATAATTCAAATCGGTGGGATTCGTGGCTCGGCTAAAAAAACCCACCGATTTACATTCACAAAATTATTTCAATTCACAAGGTGGCCTTGTGAATTGAAAAAAGATTTTGTGAATTGAAATCGGCCCTGCTGATTAAAATTATTTCAATTATTTCAATTTTTTATATTATTATCAGTCATATAGAAAAGAAGAGGGCGTCAAATAGACCCTAGAGGCGCCTCTCTATCTCATATATATATATACGTGTGTGTGTGTGGTCGACCACTCATTCTAACTCACAGATC